ATATTAATTGTCTATTATATACAAATTGTATAGTACATAATTTAAATTATGAAGACAAATTTACTGTTCCAAAGGCCACATTACCAAATTGTTGTAAAAATAATTTTTTTTTCTCAGATTATGGGGTTTAATAGATGTTCATGTGCAAAAGTTAAGTAAACTACCAAAGATGGGGATAATAACAGTATTTAGCCTCAGAGAATTACTATGAAGATTAAATAAGATAATGAATGTAAAGCACTTCGCCAGTGTCCAGCATGACAAGCTGCAAATGCAAGTCATCCATGTACTTTAAAATTCTCTAGTGGCCAAATTTAAAAAGGAACTGGATATTAACTTTAATATTTTACTTAACCCAACATATCCAAAATATTATCTGCCCATGTCATCAGAGTAAAAAATTATTGAGATATTTTACATTCTTTTATCATTTACACATGCGGCACGACTCAGTCTGAACTAGCCGCATTTCCAACATTCAGTTCAATAGCCTCACTGGGCTAGTAGCTACCGTAGTGGACAGGGCATGGAATATCTGCCACCGGGAAGTGTTAACTGACACCATCGTCATCATCATCATCATCACCATTATCACAACTGTTTCAGTACCACCTATACAACCAGGAGGAAAACAGTTCGCACGTCACCAACTCCTGCATCCACACACACGACAGGCCAGTGTGAGCGATCCCTACCTGGCTCACGCCGATGGACTGACTGCACTGAGAGGACGACAGGCTGCCTAAAACCTTAAAGTTCTTCAAGAGGAGCAAAAACCCAGCAACTGCAGATTTTCGGGCATCAAGCCGGCTAGATTAGGAACAGACAGAGAAGCAGTCACCAAACAGTATTCATTTCACAGGAATAGGCTTCTGGGTCAAAAGAAAAATCCAGTTAGTTCTGTACAGAGAAGGAATTTATACAAATAGTGAAGGACACAGCAAAATAAGTTGAATTTATATACTCAAATAAGGCATCAGCTATTGAATTCTGATTTTTTTTTCAGTATCTACTTAATGTCATGACAATTATCTATAGTGACAAGTCCACGTGGGAAATGAGAATAAGAGTGCTGAGAGGCTGTACAAGGCGTTGAAAACACGCATGTAAGTCCTGAATGGCAAGGAAATTGTCAATTTTGTGTCTGAAAGAGCACTTCCCTTCTTTGTAGAGTTTAGTGGTTGGTGCCGGGTAAACCCTCCATCCAGAAAATTGGTACACTCATCTCACTGAGGCTCATGATTAATTCATGTTATAGAAGCTACAACATACAACCTCGGCCAATCAGACATGCCTCTGGGTAAAGAGTAAGCAAAAACTGTCAATTCTAGAATAAGGATAACAGTATCAGCTACTTGCTAGCTGTTTCTCTGGCTATCCACGAGTGCATCATCATATAGCCAATGAGATATTAATTGGCATCTTATGCTTAATGTAACAAACGCTTTCCACCTATTACTTGTCTCATAATATTTTTTAGATATTATAATCTCTAGCTTATATACTAAAAAATAAAGGAAAAGGTCAGGAGGCATTGGCTAAGCTAAAAAACAAAATACCGAGACCCCTCAACAATTTATTTGGTCTGTAGTCGCTAGACCACAATTCTGATGTTCACTAAAATGAATTTCTTGAATATTTTCCTCTTAATTAAGGAGTTTTCCTCTTCACAACTGTTGCCAGTTGGCACTAGAACCTTATCTGGAAGGTTATTCACGGGGTTTACAGCAGAATACTGAGATCACAGCTCAAATTCTAGCTCCACCAGCAACCACTATTAGACTTTTGTAAAGTCACTCACCTTCTCTAAGCCTAAATTTCCTGATCTGTAAAATAAGAATTGTAATAATTCTCACTTCATAGGGTTGTTCTGAAGACTAAATGGGATAGAGCGCTTAGCACAATGCCTTGTCCGATGAGAGTGTTCTGTTGGGTTCCGAATCTGCAAGCCCACTATGCACAGGTTGTATGAGGAGATGGCAGAGAGGACTTTAACTCACATTAGAAGGCACTACTTCCGAGTCTAATGGGAGGCTACGTACCTGGCAAACATAGCTTTCCGAAGGACAAGTATCAGGGAGTCTCTCATTGACATGCTCACTTTGAGAAGGGGCTGAAAGAGGAAGAATTGAAGGGTAAAGCAGAACAAGCTTTTACTCATCAGCTTTAGCTCATTTCTACCCTACACTGTTACTGTTTGGCTTATCCGAGGTACTTTAGTTCTGTTTTCTATATGTTTCAACGTTTGTTACACTTAGTAGTAAGGACAATAGTGTACTTGAAACATAAAATTGGAACTAGCTGTGAATGCCTTTAAATCTACCATCCTCAATTAATAATTTCCTAAGAGGCTTTCGATTACTTCACTAACATGAAAATCAGTCAAGGCAAGAGACTGGTGCTATGAAGAGGGGGTGAACTTGGAGGAGGGTCCAGAGCTCAGTGCTCCTGCTCTTTTGATACAAAGTTTTATGTTTTAGAATCAAGGAAAATAGGATTTCTTTGACATATGTATTTATGAGAAACACATCAGACTTCCATTACAGTTCCACCTCAGTTTTGACGAGCTCCTTAGGAGACTCACCTGCACTGCCTTCAGCAGCCCTTGTACAGTTGGAAGGGGCAGAAAGGATAAATAGTCAAACGTCTCTGTGACTTTAGAAGAACAACTTTGAAGAACTAACGGTGAACACATGATGATATTTGAAAGCAAGTCTGAAAAACAGAATCTATAATGAGTTGCCTCAAGTAACTAAAAATATTTCAAATAAAAAGAAAATTAAAATGGGAAAGAAATAGTAAAAAGTTTGTTTCACTTCTCAAGTCAAATATACTGCCATATAATTTTTTTTTCCTATGGTCAACATAAGCAGGATACTTTAACTTTCTTCTGCAATAGCGTAAGACTACAAAAATTAACCTGTCTAAAAGAAAAGAAAAAAAAACAAACAATATACTGCCAAGACAAGTAGCACCTAATGTCTTCATCTTCAAGCTAAATCTATAAAAATTTATGAACTTTTTTTTGCTGTTGTATATTCCTTCTAAGACCATATTATGCTTAGACATAATATGGTCTTAGAAGGAATATACAACAGCAAAAACATGGTCTCCCTCCTTTCAAGAATTTTAATTTAGCTGGAAGTAATATATTTTAAAAGAATGAAAGAGATAGATAACAATATCAAATATCTAATAATTCCAAACATAGTTTATTGCCTAGCAAATGGTAATGAGAGAGCTCAAAAGTTCAAAGGAAGAGATCATTATGAGTTGGTGTGTTTTACGAAAGCAAAGAGGAGAAGGAAGTTAAGTCAGGTACTGAAAGATGGGTAACATTCAGATGCACAAAGAGCCCCAAAGGCCTACTATATGTAAAGGGGAAAGTAGAGTACAAGAATGGTTAAGTGTAAGACTTACTCAGAAGACAGTGGGAAAACTGTGGAGTTGAGGTGAAGGACTCAAAATAAATAAATAATTGGAGTTATTGTTGGGTCAAACTGTCAAGGACCTTAAGCATTAGGATAAAGAGCTGACAATTTATTACAGAAGGAACTGGCGATTTTCAAGCAATGGAGTGGTGCTTTAGGATACTTATCTGGTGGCAATAATGCAGGCTGAATTGCTGCAGAGAGAAGAGGAAGCAGGGAAAGCAGTTAGGAAGCGAGGGCAGTAGTCTAAACGCAAGGTTACAAGACTGGGAAGTAGGCAATGGGTGTGTGGCAGGGGAGGGCATAAAAAAGAAGGAAAAAGTAACTATGAGAGAAAGAATGAGAAGTTAGGTACCAAGTGTGTCTGAAGATAAAAAGGAATTCTAGCCTCTGGGACTTGGAGAGCCTGGCTTCAGACAGTAGAAATAGTTGCGATAAAAAGGGGAATTTGTTTGAAGGTAAATGTACTGCATTTGCCATAAAAGGAA